GAGGAATTCTAAGAAAACTTCTCGCTTTCGTTTTTATCGATAACGATCTAAATCCTGTAAAGTAATCATTTCAAACGTGTAACGCAATAGAAATGACGAAGTTCGTTCGTTAAAAAAAAAAGTCATTCTTAAAACGATGATATAAAATCGAAGCTAAACGTTTCTATTTATTTTTTTTTATTTCTTATATATATTCCCCTTCCACTCTCCATCACATGTTGTAAAAAGAGTTACTCATTAAAATTTGTTGGATAATTCAAAGAGATCACGGTAGTTGTAATCGTTGATAGTTGTCAATGAAAATGCGAGTTTCTTTCGTAAATCAATTTATTCATCAATTGATCATTTTTCAATGAGAATTTCTTCAGATTGAAAACCGATTAACAACAACAACTACAACAACTGCAACGAATATTCTTTGTATGATTTAAATGCGAATATATGTTTATGGTACTTGGAAAAATATCATGGAAATATATCTTCCCTAATGGTTTCTCGAGAAATGTCACGGATCTTTATATATATATATACGTTAGTTATCATCATCATTATTATTATTATTATTATTATTATTATTATTAATTTGCTCGTTGAATTAACGTGTAAGTTAACGAGTAATTAAAATCGTTCACCGTTAGTTAGATTGACCGATAAAAGAAAAAAAAATACTTATCGATGAGTGAAACGATTTCACAATTCGCATTGCTAAAGGTTACAAAAAGGTAAATCGTGATAATTGCAAGTTTTACACGTGGTTAATATACAGGGTGATTCACGAGCACTTGCCACTTAAATGGTTCCGAAAGTATGGTAGTAACAGAAAAAAGTTGCAGGAAAAATTCAAAACTACAATATGACATTAGTATTTTTTTGCAAGATTAAGTCATTTTCAAGATTTATTGGTCAACTTTGTTTGGTTAAATACAATGTTACATTTTAACACTTTAATGGCCGCACGTGTACGCAGTCAAACATCGTCTAGGGCTCGGTAATATTTTTCAAGAATTAATTTAAAAAAAACTTTATTGTCATTCACGAAAAAATTAACATAAAACAAAAAACAACAATTTACCAATTTAATTTTATGTATAAAGTTATAAAAAAAATAATAGCCAATGTGTGTGTTTGTTCTGACTATCACACACATGTTGTGTGAGCGGTCATTAAAGTATTAATACTTATTTTCGGATAGCGGCTGACAAGAAGACGAATCCAATTCGGTATTCTTGTCTTTTTATAGTAAATTTGTGTATTTTTGAATTTTGAAATTTTTATTTTATTTATTGCTTTAATACTCTCGATAGTTAAAGACACATAAACGGGTTAAATAATCGTTTCTTTTTATCATTAAACGTACCGACTAAGATCACTTAAACAAATATGTATAATTTAAAGATCAAACAATCGAATGAAAACGATAGATCATGTTTTTATAAGTACTTCAATAAGTACTTCTTCAACGTGAGTTTCAAAATCCTGTATATTAAAAAAAAAAAGACGAGAAGGATGGTTATTCGAAAATCAATATAATAATAATAATAAAATAAAGAAGAAGAAGAAAAGAAATAAACAAACCTCAGTGCCACTTATCGAATTTTTGGTTTTTTTTTCGATAATCTTCGAACATTCATAAAACCTTTTTTTTCTCTTTTTTTTTTAGAGCGTACAAATATCTTCGTTGACAAAGCCCGTTATCTTAGTTTTCTTCCGCGTTCGAGAGACTACATAATTACGAACATGGGTAGCCCATTCTCCCCATGAACAACACACACACATATTACACATACATACGCACACACGTATACGAGGACTTATGAAATATTATTTAGAAATAATAATCGCTATGGGCAATTTCTTCTATCGTTCGTTATTCGGATATTTTTCTTTTCTATCTCCTTTCTTCTTTTTTTTAATTTTTATTTCTCTCTCTCTCTCTCTCTCTCTCTCTCTCGTTTGCTTATCTTCATCACCATGAGTCGAATATGGTTACTATAAGAATGTATATATTTCATTTATTTCAAATACAAAACAAGTTTTTCGTTTGTTAATATTTCGCGTAATTCTTTCAAAGTATATTGGGATCTCTAGCACTTGAATACACTATCTGATGGCTAAATTCAAAATTAGAGTAGATAGGTCAAATTGCTATGCCACGTGGGATCTCTAGTAGGGGCCCTAAAGGAGGGACGCGCCATGCACATTGCTGGGGGGCAGAAACTCGTGTAGTCACGTGATTGCGCGCGAATGATTCAAACGATAAGTTATAGGTTAGGTTTGTACATTTATACTTGTAATTATTAAATGAGTAAATTAAACTTACACTTATAGAAAACTACTAAAAAAAAAAAAAACAATTAAATATAAATATCACAATAAAAACTACAAGTATTCCAAACTTAAACTAACCGCAGCCATTAATACATACTAAAGATAAACATGGCTGCGCGATGCAACGGAAGCTGTCCCCCCACATTTTCAGCCTAGCAATGTACATGGCGCGTCCCTCCTATAGGGTCCCTAATCTCTAGCACTTGAATACGCTATCTGGTGGCTAAATTGAAAATTAAAGTAGATAGGTCGAATTGCTACGCCACGCCCCTGCCAGAGATCCCAATACTATGAATAATACGCATAAATATACATACATACTTATATATATATTGGGTTGGCAACTAAGTAATTGCGGATTTTGTCTATAGATAGCTTTTTAAAATCAGCAATGACTTAGTTGCCAACTCAATACATGGTGATTCACTAGGTCTAATTGATTGATAAAAAGACTATAATAATATCATATAGGGCCCTTTTTCTTACTTCTGTCTACTTCCTTACCGTTAACGTTCTTCACTTTGCCCTTCTCTTGTTACTCTATACTAAACATTATAATTTATAAACGTTGCTTCGAGCCACGCCAACCATCGACCTATTTGGATCGCATGAAAATTTATTACCCATTTGACCCGTTTGATCGTCTTGATATTATTGACTCTCTACCGGTCCATAGATAATACTGACAACTTCTCTAACGTTACCATAACACATAATACCTCTATACATATATGTGTCTTTGTTATAAAAAATATTGATTTAATATAATGTTAAACTATTTAGTAAATTATAGCAACGCATGAAATAATAATATACAAGAAAATAGAAAAAAGTAAGGTTAGTTTTGTCATCTGTAACTCTGAAAAAAATGTAAAATAATTGAATTGTAATACAGCACCACCTATTGAAAACTTACAGTACCTACAGTAATATACAGAATATAACCAAAACGATTTCGCAATTTGAGAAGACGTGAATGAAAAATCGTTTAGGAACTATAATTGACATTTCCTGTGTGTCAAATTAAAAAAAAAAAAAAATAATAGAAAAATAACAAACGATAATTCTAACATCTCTTTCACATCTCGTACGAAAAAGGAAAAAAAATGAAGGAAATAAAAATAAAAAAAGAAACAGTAAATTTTGGTATCCATTTTTTTTATATATATATATTTTATCGAATTCATACGAAATTTTTTTATTCGAAAAAATTTTTACAACCCATTCGTCAATTTAATAAAAAACAAAAAATCAACCATTGCGATCGTAAAAATCCTATTGAATATATTCCTTTTTTAATAATAAAAATAAAAAAATAAGAAAGAGAATCATAAAAGATTCTATAAAAGTAAACGGGATATCTTTATGTTATTTTTTTTTATGGTTTTTTTTTTATTTTATGAAAAAGTTAAAAGCATTAAACGTTGAAATATCTTCATGCGGTCACCGCAAAATTTAACAATGAAGAGTCCAAGACTCTTATATAAGTTGACCATTGGTTGTGTTGCAATAACGGGCTTTGTCGGAACCCCCCCGACAATCCCCCCTACCTCCCTAACCCCCTTAAGAAAGATTCGATATTAAGCATTCCAGAGAACAACCATGCAATAATGCGAGGCTACCGATGCATAGGAAGGAAAATACGATGGTTCACTGCTGAATTTAAAATATTTCGATCAAGATATTGCTATTATACATACACATAATGTAGAAAAGGTCGAGAAAATGAGAAAGAGAATATAATTTTGGATAAATAAGAAAGAGAGAGAGAAAGAGAGAGAAGGGTGTGTGGCTTTCGATATTTCGTTGGCTTTTCTACACCATGAAATTGTTAATCTTTGCTACGACCTTTTCTTACAACCCGTTGAGAAGAGAATTATTTCGAGATACCTAAAACATGTATATTAACATAGATTATTATTAAATTCTTCGTGGTATAGGAAAATTTTATTAATTGATCATCATTACCATCATCATCGTTGCATCTTATTTTATTTTATTTTATTTTACTTTATTATATTTTATTTTTATCTTTCATACCTTTATTCTTTTGTCTTCTTTTATTCTTATCTTCTTTTGAAAATATGCACAAAAAGAATAAGATAGGAGCCACTTAGGTTAGAACGGCACATATTACGTAAATTTATTGGTTATGTTATGATGGTCAGTTTACAGGGAGGTCTGTAATTTAATTTATCGACAAATCGGGTCGATACGATTAATCTTGATTCGAGAGAGAGTTAAAACGTGGTAAGGCGTCTTTTACAGAACTGGTCTATAAATCATATTCGAACCCTGAGTTGTAATAGTGGTGGTGATAGTAATAATGGTGGTGGGGGTGGTTCTTACAGATTATATCGTTTGATAATAAGTAAAATATAGTATATAACGTTTTGCTTGGTTAAAGAAACAAACAAATAAAAAATAAAACAAACCAAAGAACTAGACTAGCAAAAGTTACTAGATGTATGTATGATAATAATTACAAAATAATATATAACGTTTTTTGTAATGTTTGCTTGGTTAAACAAACAAACAAACAAACGAACAAAAAACAAACCAAGGGGAACGAGAAAAAGTTACTAGAAATTGTGAAAAAGAAAGGACAGGAAATAAAGAAATAAGGATTGATAGTTTAGAAGGAGATTACATGTGCTTTGTTATGTTTGCAGACATGAAACCTTCGGAGAGAAGCGAAAAGGCCATGCTGACAGGGAACGCGCAACCTTCGGACGTGTTCTGTTCAGTTCCAGGACGATTATCGTTACTCAGCAGCACCAGCAAGTACAAAGTTACGGTAGCCGAGGTACAGAGACGGCTCTCGCCACCTGAATGTTTAAATGCCAGTCTTCTAGGTGGTGTTTTACGAAGGTAAATAGAATAATAATTATATTTTTCCTTCTTCCTCAATTATTTCAATATTTATTCCCTTTTTTTTGGGTTTTTTTTTCATCGTCAATTTATAAGGAAAACATTGCAAAAGTATTTGCAAATCAATATTCAATTTTATTACGGTACCATAGTTATTTTAATTACGGTTAAATTATTTTATTATTTATATATTTTATAATATATATAATTTATTTATATATATTATAAATTATATATATTTTATAATTAATAGGTTTAAATTACTTTTGTATAATAGATTAAAGAAATTAATTTAATATACGCGAGGGTGTGTGTGCTTCTCTAATTAGTGTGATATCTAAATTATATTATTGGTAATATAACTAATATAACATAATTATATATTATAAAAAATATAATTTTCAATATAATATTAATTATAGTAATTACTAGTAATACAATTAATATAACATAATATATATAATTATAATATAATAAATAATAATAATATAATAAATTATATTAGTAATATAATTAATATAATATAATATAATTACTAATTATATTACTATTAATATAATTATATTATTATTATTTATTATTATATTACTAATAATTACTATAATTATTATTATATTGAAAATTTTTGACAAATCCAAATAAATTACGTGTCATAATTATAGGTAAATATGATATACACGAAAAAGCACTTTATTTTAAAAAATGATTCATTCCTTGCAACGATCACCAAATTCTTCTCTCCTCTCTTTATATTCAACCATTAAATAATAACTTTCTTCGAAAGTATAGAATTTATAGTATTTTAATTTCGTTAAAAAAGAATAACCAAAATAATTTATATCTTAAAAAAAGAAATAAATAGGAGGTCATAATTTTTCTATCATCTCTGTCAAAAACATCAAAGATCGAACAAGTAGTTGGTTGGTTGGTTGGTTGGTTGGTTGATTCTTTTAAGAGTATATAATTATTATTATTATTTCCTCAGATTATTCTTTCTCTTTTTATCTTTATCTTATTTCTTCCTTTTCGATCCTCTGACCACCCCCTACCCCGTCCCAACTTATTATCTTCTCGGTGAGTGAAAAAGAGAGAATGAGAGAGAGAAAGCGTTTCATTCATGTTGTTTTAAACCGTACGAGCCTATTCACCGTAATATCTCTCGCAAAAGAGAAGAAAAAGAAGGAAGAAGAAGAAGAAGAAGAAGAAGAACTTACTTACGTGTTCACCGTTAGGATAATTTAACATTACGATGGAACGATTATTAAGTATTAAAATACCTTTGAATATTCGATCGTCGTTCCTTGCCAATATAATATTACATACATACATATATGTATATATATATATATATAAAACGGGCCAATTAGTATCATCATTTATATTTCACATTGGTGAGATGATCGACCTTTGAACAATTATAAAAAAAAAAAATGAAAAATCCCCCATCACCTATTTATAAAAATTATTGACACACAAAAATTTGAAACTGCGTTAATTTTGATATTAATAATAACTTAAATTATTATAAATAATATACGGTAATTAC